TTGATACCACCTCTACCCCTGTCCCTCTTGATACCACTACTACCACCGTCCCTGGTGATAGCACCACCACCGCTGTCCCTCTTGATACCACCACCACCGCCGTCCCTGTTGATACCACCACTACCACTGTCCCTGTTGATACCACCACCACCCCTGTTCCTCTTGATACCACCTCTACCCCTGTCCCTCTTGATACCACCACTACCACCATCCCTGGTGATAGCACCACCACCGCTGTCCCTCTTGATACCACCACCACCGCCGTCCCTGTTGATACCACCACTACCACCGTCCCTCTTGATACCACCACTACCTCTGTTCCTGTTGATACCACCACTACCCCTGTTCCTGTTGATACCACCTCTACCCCTGTCCCTCTTGATACCACTACTACCACCGTCCCTCTTGATACCACCACTACCACCGTCCCTCTTGATACCACCACTACCTCTGTCCCTGTTGATACCACCACCACCCCTGTTCCTCTTGATACCACCTCTACCCCTGTCCCTCTTGATACCATTACTACCACCATCCCTGGTGATACCACCACCACCGCCGTCCCTGGTGATACCACCACTGCCACCGTCTCTGTTATTACCACCACCGTCGCTGCTAACACTACCACCCCTGTCCCTGCTGATACCACCACCCTCAGAACAACCACCATCACCACCAACCCCTGCATCCCTGATATAACCACCCCCACTATACCTGACCCCTGCCTTCCTGATACAACTACTAGCACCACTATCTCTGTTGATACCACCACCACCCCTTTCTCTGCTGGTACCAGCACCCATGGCATCCCCAAAGATACCAACAGCACCTCTGTCCCTACAGCTAGCACCACCCCCAGAACAACCACCATCACCACCAAGCCCTGCATACGTCATATAACCACCCCCACTACACCTGACCCTTGCTTTCCAGATACAACCACGACCACCACCCCTGAAGCAAACACCATTCCCATGTGTTCTACAACCACCCCTGATACAAATGACCACATCTGTGGAGCTAGCCCGGCTCTGGGGAAATTCTCGTTTGCCCTCTCCCTGCCTCTCCTTACTGCGATCCTGCTGGTGAAACTGATCTCTTGATGCCCTGCTGCATGGGCCACACAGCACTTGATGCCTGCAAATGAAGATCTGAATCTAAGCTGCCCCCTCTCCGAGGCCTCTCCATGGTGTGGTGGCAATGCAAAGGGGATGCTGTATCGCCAGCACATGGGTGTGCGTATGTCCCAGTACCTCACTGCTGGCTGCAGTCTCTCTGGAGCTTTGGCAAATTCACTGAATAAACCAGGATTGGAAATAGAAGGCCCCAGTGTGTTCTGTTCCGGTTGCACATTCCCCACCTTGTCTGCATGAGAGCGGAGCACGACCAGACGCATTAGCCACAGAAGAGCTTGTTTGTCTTTGTGGGCGTGTTTCCCTAGATCCCTGTATCCCCCGCTGGGCATGTGGGACCCCACCCGCGGTGCCCACCCACCCTCCCCAGCCTGCACTTCCCCGAAGCATCAATGTTACCTCCTGGGCGTCTCTGCCGAGCTCTCAGCAGGACGGTGGCATAAACTTTAGTGGCTTGGTCTGGGCTAGAGCTGTGTGACTGAGCACAGGGGGCATCACCTGGGGAGGCCTGACTTGTGACCCCCCCCCACCCCACACCCCCACTGTGGGCCCGGCCCCTTGGGGCTGCTCTGAGGATGCCCCCAGAGGACTAACATCCTCCCACAGCTGGGGCAAGAGACGGCTGCAGGGCCAGGGGGAGGCAGCTGCTGGGAAGGGTAAGGGACCTCTCGGGGCAGCAGCATGGCGGGGCTGTCACAGGCAATAGGGCAGGGAGAGTCGCAAGGCAGGCGCCAATTTCCAGCCTGGTCTCTGGGAACGAGACTGGGCTCCTCCTAGAGCAGGTTTTCTACACGCCGCTCTCCAGCGACAGGCCCAGGCTGGGGCCACTGCTCCCTGGTGGTGGCTGCGCGTTAGCTGGAGAAAAAGAAACGTCCTTGGGCAACAGCCAGAGACCAGGGACCCACTGTGCCATGTGCTGCCCAGAGCTGCTCCAGACTGGGACCCCCGGTGTACCAGGTGCTGCACAAACATGTAGATACAGTCCTGCCCTAGATAGATAGATAGATAGATAGATAGATAGATAGATAGATAGATAGATAGATAGATAGATAGATAGATAGATAGATAGATAGATAGATAGATAGATAGATAGATAGATAGATAGATAGATAGATAGATAGATAGATAGATAGATAGATAGATAGATAGATAGATAGATAGATAGATAGATAGATAGATAGATAGATAGATAGATAGATAGATAGATAGATAGATAGATAGATAGATAGATAGATAGATAGAGGGGGTGTCTGGGGATAGCGAGCACAGGGCTGGGCTGGCAGAGCACTCATTGATAAGGCTGCTGGGCACCGAGTGCTCCTGCAGACATGTCTTAACTGATTCCAAAGTAAGGTTGTTTCATTGGCCAATCCAGTAATGAGGTTATACTTGTCTTACAAAAAATTTAGTTAAGATGATTAAAGAGAGTGGATTAAATGGTGGGCCCCCTGAAATTGATCGAATTTTTGCCATGTACTTTACTGGGAGATATGATTAGAATTGGGCAAAATTGGTGACATTTTCATTTAATTTGAGAGATGGGAGGATTTTTTTGGAGAAAGGAAGAAATAGGGAGGAGTGTTAGAGTAAGCTAAGAAATTAACTAAATCCATTTGAACCGGAAAAGGCTTCATATCCCACTATATTTCTTAAATAGGAAAAGTATATTTGAGTTCTCTTTTTTGCTCCATAATCTCCTCGTGGAATGAGGTGTACAGATATCTCGGAATAGGAAGCCTATTCCGAACTACCTAGTTCGTGCTGCGTGTAACCGTGGGAACGGAGTCCGAACTAGCGGACATTTAAAAATGGTGCAAATGAAGCCCAGGATATTTAAATCCCGGGCTTCATTTGCAACTTCAGTTGCCTACATTACCACCCTAGTTCGAGCTAGGGGGCTAGTGTAGACATACCCTAAGATGCTGCAAGACTGTCTGTTGGTTTTTAAGTTTTTCCAGTTACATACT